TGCACAACAAAACAAGTCCAATCCATGAGTAAATACACATACTGATTGTACTTGCTGACTAGATTTGCTATTTAAATTGAAACTATTATAAAGGTACCATTATTACTTATCTGTAGTATTTTTGAAATGCTTGTCAGGTATTTATCAAGCCTTTATCATGCCTTATTTGCATATTTGCAAGTGTTCCCTAGTGGGACAGTCAGTATCCTTGATGGGTGTTACAGTATAATCCTATGGGATAAGCCACCTGGATGGTGTTCTCCTGTGTATATAGAACACAGTAAATATGACTGATACCAGCATCACCATCCCTATTTTTGCAGGGTTGTTCCGATTTTCAGATCCATGGACAGATGGCCAAGACTGAATATATTATCTTAGAAATGTTGTCATGTCTGGATGGTACATGGTAGGTGATTCATAAGGGAAAACATATGACAAAAATATAGACATTTGGCACATGGTGTCCTTCCATGAGCATCACTGTGTCTTCCCTTTAATTTTGAAATTTGTGTCTTTTACCAAGATTACATCACAACGCATATGGTCACAGTATACTATTATAGCCTTTCTAAAATAACTTATATTCTTATTAATTAAAAAAATGGATAATCCACCACCTAATTTATACTATTATAAAACTATTATAGTATAGTTTGCATTCTGCTTTAAAGTTTTCAAAAAATGTTTCCCAAAATATTTTTAATGTAGATAACTAAATCAGTAAAATTTCATATAAGCTTGAACAAGTAGTCATTTACAATATGCAGCTTTTGTTAAAATATTACATAGAGAAAAATGTAGTTACTCACCTGCAGTGTAGTGGGACACATAAGCAGTAGCATTAACCCTTTCTATACATATATTCATCCAGTATTTTTTGTTATATAATAATTCTTTCTCTCACCTCATCACAAGATTGTTAGTTAATTCTTATCAATCACAGATTGACTGGAAAGTTAAAACACTGAAAAAATAAAGACAAGAAAGACCTTCCCTTTTATGTTCCTTTTCAAGAGTCAACAAACTGTACTCATATCACCTGCCAAGTATAAGGTTATTGAAGTATGCTAGATTAAGCAGAAAATCTACAGTCCATCCTGGAGTTGTAGCTGTCACTGACTCAGAACTCTCATTTTTATAGATATTGTAGATGTGTTTTTTCTTAAACAAACTGACAGTCATTCAGTAAGAAAACAATGTCGATGGATACTTGCTAAGAGATATGAAGGATTAAAGTGTATTATTTCAGATGGTCTCAATTTGATTTTAAAAACATACTTACTGGACTGTCTGTGAGACAATTTCCTCTGTATAGTCTCAGCAACAGGGAAATATATCATTGCACATATCCAGGATATGCCAGGTTTTCAAATAACCACATAAAAAGTGACCTAATGAGCCTGTAGACCTAAAACACCAGTAAGAACCAGCACCAGCATTCACAACTATTTAAAGATACTGTATCACATCTCTAAATGACACAACTAAATGAAATCGAAAGTTCCCTGCAAGAAAATGGGTAGTATAGTTGTGACCGGGGCTCACTCCCCCAGCACAAGTGGGTATCTTTAGCTTGTGTAAGCACTCATCAATGCCCAGGACTAGGTGGGGCAACACTCATTTGGTCATCAAACATTATGGTAGTACCATGACTTACCGACACGCCGTACACTGTGTGCAGTAATATAACACAGGCTTCCTCTGTGAAACGTGCTGTCCCAAATTACTAAACACCCACCCTTAATGTATGTTGCATTTAGCAGGGACACTGCTGACCCTGTGCTCTCTCCACCAGTCCAGTGTACCTCTGTCACCTCACTCCCAGCACCAGCATTCACAACTATTTAAAGATACTGTATCACATCTCTAAATGACACAACTAAATGAAATCGAAAGTTCCCTGCAAGAAAATGGGTAGTATAGTTGTGACCGGGGCTCACTCCCCCAGCACAAGTGGGTATCTTTAGCTTGTGTAAGCACTCATCAATGCCCAGGACTAGGTGGGGCAACACTCATTTGGTCATCAAACATTATGGTAGTACCATGACTTACCGACACGCCGTACACTGTGTGCAGTAATATAACACAGGCTTCCTCTGTGAAACGTGCTGTCCCAAATTACTAAACACCACCCTTAATGTATGTTGCATTTAGCAGGGACACTGCTGACCCTGTGCTCTCTCCACCAGTCCAGTGTACCTCTGTCACCTCACTCCCAGTGACAGAATGTGGTCCTGCTGAGCACTAGCATGGACCTCATGCGTGCTCTCACTTAACTCCATCAGCTCTCCCGTTCCATGCGGCTTGGCAATGGGGTCCTCGTACCGTGGTTCAGTCCAGGGTACTTTGGGAGAACCAACCGCTATGGAAGGAGCCAGCTCATCGACCCCCTTGCTACTGGAGGACCTGTCACCTTTGCCAGGTACCACTTCATGAATGGCTGTAATACACTCTCTTGCCAAGTTAACCCTTTGTAGTGGTCTTGCTTCACATCACCTTCTGTGCTTTACAGACCCTGGTCGTCTGATACGCCATGTGTTACCATCCACCTCTTGAATAACTTCAGACCAGGCTCAGAATGTTTTTAAAGCTTTCCTGAGAACTCTCTATCGTGGCAACGTCCATGCAAACATAACACAGCTTCAGCCCCAACTGTCTAAGCCTAGACTGCCCAGGTGTACCTTAATAAGGTGAAAATCCATGTATGGTGTCCTCCAAAAGATTCTTTCAATGTTCCAGTACTCTGTGGGACTGCATAGCGCAGCAGCCCCTTCTCAGTTTCCCATGTGCAACAGTGGCTCTCGGGATCTGGCCTTCCCCCTTTTAAATCTGCACAGGGAAGGAAGGGTGGGCCCAAAAAGCCTGGGAAAAGGAGCCCAGACATACCTAACCCCTTCCCAGCCTGGGCAGACTAATCTTGCTAAAACCAAACCTTCTATGCAGGCACTTGCCTACATACTCATCTCTCCACAGATTCATGTCTACTATCTCAGGTGCAACAAAATCTATGTGCAAAGTTTATCCAGGAAAAAGTTGGTTTTAGAGTGAAGTCTTCCCGCAGAGAGACTCTGCTTGCAGCTGGTTGTTGTATGTGGCTGGAGCCGACAGTACTACTGAATACATGCAATATAAACCTTGGTTTTGGGCAAAAGACATAAAAATGTAAGTGCATTTTGTTATTGGTCTTTTAAGAATAAAATGATTTTACACTATGCAGCAGCTGTTTGTTCTCTGAGCATGGTCTCGAGGAAAGAGAAGGTGGATTTGAGGAGGTGAGTGGACTGAGTGAAACCATTGATGTCTGGATTAAGCAGATTGTAATATGTGATACAAAACTAAAGTCTGCAGCTGACTAGTGTTTGGCGAGTAGCTAGTGTTCCTGGTGGAGGAGATCACAACGTGGACATTGGAGATTGGAGGAGAGATTTCTTTTAGAACACAAGCATTTTCTTGGATGAGCTTTGCTTGCACATGGATTTTGTTGCACCTGAACTTGTTACTTTATTGAATATATGTATTTGATTGCACAGGACATTTTAATATATGAAACTATAGCACTGGACACTTTTTTTTTGTTTTTTTCATTAAGTTTTTTATTTTTGCATGGTATTTATAATATTTGCACATTGTTTTTAAGTTTGTTTGGAACATTTTACAGATTGGACTATTTATGTTTTTTTGTGTTGTGTACAAATTTCAGGAAATTACAATGTGAATTATATTGTTGGTTATTGCTAAAAGGGGACAGCGCAGTCACCATGTATAGGTTGGATTTTTATTGCTGTCTGTATCCCACTGGGTACACAACAGTGAGTGATAAGCAATATCCTCAATATCAGGAAATTTGGCACTTTTGACAGTCTGTATTGAAAGATTTCCCCTTTTCTCCTGTTCTGGGGTCAACTGTAAAGCTTAGGTTTTTCCCCTCACTGTCTGCCATGAAGACAACAGCTACCAGGATAGAAAGTGGATATTTAGCATCTTCTTTTTGGCATTCATTATATCTGTGCCATTAACGTGTGCTATACTATTTGGTATTATGAGTCTTTATTGGATCTCTGGGGAGGGTTCCCCATTGTAGATCATATACACAACTTAGGTTCTATACCGACTTTTATTTGGCACTTTGTAACTTAGCTAATAATAGCTGGCATTTGTTTTGTACATGTTTTGATATACCTTTAATACATTTTTTTGTGAACAAAAAAGTGGATTTTAATGGGAGCTTGTAAACCGTCCCCACACTACACAAAATTGTAAAGAAAAAAAAAAGTTCTGGATGTTGTTCCACTTTAAGAACAACACATATTTTGTTGTCTGTAGCCTACAGATTTTATATACAAATTATATCTGTCTGAAGTCATAATGGAGGGCAGTATTGTCCCTTTACCTATTCAGGTGTCTGTGTAAAGGGGAGCCCCTAAAATGCTGATACTAAGCTTGCCTGCACTCCCCCACCACTCCTCATTCTCTCTGTCATGTGGCAGTTCTTGGGTCTAGCTATTGGTTGCTAGACCAAAGCACTCTCACAATGAAAAAGGTCATATGCTCCCCCTACCTGAGTATCATAGGGTCAGGGGCCCCTTTATGAATGGGCAAAGTGACAATGTGTCTTTAAAACCTGGGAATCATGCTCCTCCACAATGTGCTGAAGAATACAAACAAAACTGAAAAAAAAAAAAACAACAGAGCTGTCACTGTAGATGATATGTAAATTTCTAGATTAAAGAGTTTCATGTAACCAAGCGTAATTTTAATAAAAGATGACAAATCTGGAAAAATATGAGAACATGTATGGTACAGACAACAAATTATATCCTGTCATGTACAGTTAAACTTCTGCCACGCATTTTCAAATCTGAATACGTGAACTATCAACAGAAGCCAGGAATATCACTCCTATAAAAAAGTCTTCCTAAAAATCTATGTAACTGTGCCAATTTTTTGATACAGATATTTTCTGCCTGTTCAGTGTAAACAGACGCATTTTCCAGTCTTCATAATAAGCCTTGCACATAATCTGTGAAAACAGTTGAGAGTCCAGCTGCTTCAAATTCTCTTTCTAAATCATCAACCGATGGATATACCTTTACTTCAAATGTAGAAAGTCTGTAATGAAAGGAAATGCAATATAAGATAAACTTCAGGCATTTTTTATTTAATTTCAAACAGAGTGGCTATGAGATAGAACCTTGGTGCCAAACCTGTGGCCCTTTGGTACTTGTTGTGCAGCCCTTGGACACCAGCAGTCTGTAAGGGGAATGAGAGCTTTGATTTGTAAATGGGTAGTAGTAATGATTTCTACTAGCCTCATGTAACATGTCACCAGGCTCTCACTGTCACTTGCAGCATGTTTCCAATATCTAAACAAATCTGCAGCATGTCCACATTTTCTGACCATCATTTTCTCATATACTGTACATTCCTCAAAGTATATTTGCAGTTTCTAACATTCCATTCTAGCAATACATATTGAATGCTAAAATTGTATGTACTGCCCTTTGTTGATATCAGGTGCCACAGCTGAAGCCCCCTATACCCCATAACATGACAACCACTGGGATTAGAACCTCTGTCAGATTTTTTTTATTGTTTCCTGCTACCCCATTGAGAAGATTTTCCTAACCTCACTGTTGTGCCCCTGGGATGGTAAGTGAGGAGAATCACAGGTATAAAATCATTTTTTGATAAAGTAGGGAGAGAATGGTGGCAATCAACGTTCCCAATATAGGGAGCCTCAAGTGTGACCCCTGGCATAAACAATAGTCAGTGAATGCACATATAATGAATTAACAATGATGAATAATACTACAAAAATATATATAATATTTTATAATTTAAAATAAAATTGTGAATTTATTACAGAAAGATGTCAAAGGCTGCAGACATGCAACAAGAGATGGTCAGAGCCTGCAGACATATCTGCATCTGGAAAAGTTCTCCTTACTCTTTTTTGATGGGTGTCATACAGAACAAGAACTTATGGGAATTACCCCAACATGAACACAACTGTAAAAATAATCTCTCTTATAGAGTGGGAAAACCTATAAGGCTTTTCTTACAGTCTGTACCTCTCTTAGGGAGATTTTCTCCACATCCTGCCCAGTTAAAGACTCTCAGGGGTAGATTTACTAAAACTGGTGCAGCTATGCATGGAAGCCAATCAGCTTCTAACGTTGGCTTGCTTAATTAAGCTTTGACAATAGAAACTGGAAGCTGATTGTTTCCTGTGCAGAGCTGCACCAGATTTTGCACCATGCAGGTTTAGTTAACAACCCCGTCAGAGTCAGACATAACAGGGGCTGGGGGGGAAATCAATGAAAACCCAACAGTGGGTCCTTAGACTTCCCATCTATATCCAAAACTAAAAAAAAAAAATAGGGGTTAACATTGGAATAAGCCATGTCAACTCTCATTTCTTCATTAGATTAAACATCATTGGCACTAAGCACTTATAAACCATGATACTCATTTTTATAGTGATTTAATAAAATGCAGAGTAAATAATCAACAAAAAGTGCAAAATCCTTCATAAAAATATGCAACATTTTGAGCCACCGGACTGGCTCCTTCATAGCATGGAGTACATGTTCCATGCTTGAAAAGAAGCCTGTTTGGTGTCTCAAAGCATCTTTGTTTTTATGAAGGGTTTTGCACTTTACTTGTTGCTGTCTATTTGCGTTGCATTTTATTAAATTGCTATATGGACCATCATGCTTTAAAAGTCTTCTTTGTTCTTGCTCTACTGAAGAAATGTTTGCCTAACCTGACCATACATAGATCGACTCCTGTTCAACCACAGTGGCCACACATGGATCAAAATTCATCTGCTCCCTGCTGAACTGGCCAAATTGTGATCCATGAATGGCCAGCTTAAGTCATGTCATTAGGCTGTCATCTATTTGCACCAAGAATCTGATAAGATGTAGATTGGTGTGAGCTTTATTGTGTGATATGATGGTACCTTCCATTTACCTTTTCAATGGCCAGTGAGGCATTCCATAAGACAAAGGCTGCTGGTGGGACTAACACCAAATCACATGGGAGAAAAAACTTAGAACAGGTTAATATTACTGTCTGTGCTCCATTTGGAAAGATTTTCTATCACTACCTGTTTTGGACAGCTTAGGGCATAGCATAGAACCTCTTTAGAAAATGGACCAACCAAGTGGTTCTAAGTGCATCATACTCAATTGAGTTATATATTAAAATCATACACCTGCTTGTGCTGCTTATATCACTTTCAGATTAAATTTTAATTTAAGATTTATTGTCCCAATAAAAAACACTATTGCTGTTTATCAGTAAGGGAAATTACCTATTTTGCTCCTGTGACAATTTAACTTCACATAAAACACTGATCATTTTCTCTTTACATTTCTTTCCACTGGAGTCCACATCCACTTTGCAGCTTTTCTGGAGGACCAAGTACTCCTGTAGGAGAGACCCCAAACACAAAAAGGAATTGTAAACAGAACAAGGCATTTTAACAGAGCACAGGCTAGGAATGTATGGTTACTGGATACAGACAAGCATTCTGGTCTTGTATAAAATTAGCCCCAAATATGACATCTTCCCGGTTGTAGAAGGAGTGAGTAGATTCTGCACGCCACTTTAACTACTTGCCCTCCGGAAGGTTTTACCCCCTTCATGACCAGAGCATTTGTTTTGCTGTTCAACATTGTGCTACTTTAACTGGCAATTGTTTGGACATGCAACACTGTACCCAAAAGAAATTTGGTTTTCACACAAATAGAGCTTTCTTTTGTTAGTATTTGATCAAAACTGGGTTTTTTATGTTTTGCTATATAAACAAAAAAAAAACTAAAATTTTGAAAAAAAAAACCAAAAACATATTTACTACTTTCTGTTATAAAGCATATCCAATAAAATCAAATTTCTTCACAAATTTGGGCCAAAATGTCTTTTGCTACATGTCCTTAGGAAACAAATATTCCAATAAGTGTATACTAAACTATGGTATATACTGTATATTGAAAACTTTATCAATCCTGATGTACTGGCGGCATATCTAATTTCCTGAGGCCCTAAAATGAGGACAGTACAAATAACCCCCAAATGACCCTTTTCTGGAAAGTAGATAGTTTTAGGCATTTAGTAAGAGGCATGGTGAGTTTTTTGAAGTTGTAACTTTTTGTTACAATTATTCTAGAAAATAGAGACATTAAATAAAATTTGTTTTTTTCACAATTGTTTTACACACTGTCACCAGTGCAGTAGAGACATCATATGACTGGTGTGGTGTGATTAGGGATACTGACTGGTGACAGTATGTTAAAGAAAAAAAAAAATCAAAAACACACACAGTAAATATTTTTGTATTCAGGTTTTTAAACGTTTTTTCTTTTTTTACATACTCTCATCATAGTAATTCAGTGTGACAATAGTAACACTGTACTACTCTGGAGGGGTGATCTGGGATTTTTTTTGCTATTACAGTGATGGTCACTGTAATAGCAATGTTTTGAATTGTCATGAATGGGTTACATTGATAACAGCTGTGATTACTGTTGTGAGCTGTGATTGACCTACAGCCAAGGCCGTGGATAAGGGGGTACCACCAGTTCTCTTGTATGTGGCCCAGGCATCTCGGTGAATTGGATGTGGGCAGGGAGGGTCATCAGTATGGGGGGGGGGGGCAATTACTGTAACCAACTTTCTGTATGGCTCTCTCTGCAGCAGCTGAAAGCTGACTTCTCCTTTCCCTCCCGCTGGCTTTCAGCTGCTGCATTGAGCCATACAGGGGAATGGTTCCAGTAATTGCCCCCCTGCTGCACCCATCACCTTCCCTGTGCACCATACATTTCCCCCTGCTACCCATGCCCCACAGTGCTGCTGGCTTCCCCCTCTCCTTCCCACCGGCAGCTGCCAGCACACAATAGAATCCTTCTGAATGAAGAGTGGGTGAAAGGTCCGTTAAATATGCCACATCTGCCAACCCTTCTTTCCTGAGTGAACACAATGAGTGATCGGTCTCGATCACTTGCTGTGTCTATTCAAAACTGAAGCATAGTAAACTGCTTTTGGGGGGGAATGGGGGCTGTATGGGGCGACATGGTTTCTAACAGCAGCTCTGCTTACAGCTATCACATGGTACAGGGTTTTGTGACTGGCTCAGGTACCATGTGATAGCTGTGGGCCAATCAAAGCATCACTATAGGAATCACCACTGTTATGAATGAAATTCTTTCATAACAGTTTTGTTGACATTGTGATCATGTGTTCACACAGCGGTACCAGGAGGTGCAATCTGCTGTGTCCATCAGTCGCAGGAGCGGTGTGCTGTGTGTCACTCAGCTGGATGATGTACAGCAGCCAGGAATACATATACATTTCACAAGCAGACTGTCAGCTCTCACATGCACACCCCCACTGACATAGTGACAGCCAGTCACTGTATACACTGCTCCTCTCCTGTCTTTCTCAGCCGCCCCCTATATCTGCAGTACACACAGTCTACTGTATCGGCACCTGTATCAGCTAAATTTTTCCTATCGGCATTCGCTATTTTCGTCCGATATGTTTCGGTGGCCAAAATTTCAGTGCATCCCTAATATATATATTATATTCACACACACCTTAAAAAAATTAAAGGAACACTTTGAAAACACATCAGATTTCAATGGAAAAAAAAGAATGCTGGATATCTATACTGATATGGACTGGGTAATGTGTTAGGAATATAAGGATGACCCATCATTTGATGGAATGAAAGTTATCAACCTACAGAGGACTGAATTCAAAGACACCCTGAAAATCAAAGTGAAAAATTGATGCAGCAGGCTAGTCCATTCTGCTTAAATTTCATTGCAGCAACTCAGAATGGTACTCAGTAGTTTTGTATGGCCCCCACGCACTTGTATGCATGCCTGACAATATCGGGGCATGCTCCTAATGAGACGACAGATGGCGAAATTCACACTAGTGGCCTGCTGGAGATCATTTTGTAGGGCTTTGGCAGTGCTCACCCTGTTCCTCCTTGCACAAAGTAGCAGATACCGGTCCTGCTGATGGGTTAAGGACCTTCTACGGCCCTGTCCAGCTCTCCTAGAGTAACTGCCTTTCTCCTGGAATCTCCTCCATGTTCTTGGGACTGTGCTGAGGGACATAGCAAACCTTCTGGCAATGGCACGTATTGATGTGCCATCCTGGAGGAGTTGGACTGCCTGTGCAACCTCTGTAGGGTCCAGGTACCACCTCATGCTAATAGTAGTGACAATGGTCCTAGCCAAATGCAAAGAAGATGCAAAGAGAAGAGATGCAGCCATGCACAGTGCTGGATATCTTCTCCCCTCTTTTCCTCTTCATACAGGGAAGGGGGAGTTAAAGCCATAAAGGTTTTTTTTACCTTAATGCATGGAATGCATTAAGGTAAAAAATGTTTGGGTTTAGAAGCACTTTAACCACTTGCCATCCGCGCTATAGCTGAATGACAGCTAGAGCGCGGTTGTCCAGTTCTGGGAGGGCATCATATGACGTCCTCCCAGAACACGCCCCTGGAGGTGGGCAGCTGGTGATCTCTGTGATTGCTGTGTCCTACGGACACAGCTGATCAGATGATGTGGTAAAAGGCCAATCACAGCAGCCTTTTGCAACGTGATCAGCTGTGTCCAGTGACACAGCAGATCACTGGTAAATGCAGTTGCCAGTTATCAGCTGCACTTTCCCCACGCTGTCAGAGCATAAGGAAAGTACTGCCGATAACCGGCAATTGTCAGAGGACGGATTGGCACTGATCATCAGCAGTGCCGCCCACCTGTGTCCAGGAGTGCCGCCTCATCAGTGCTGCCTATCCGTGCCACCTCATCAACGCGCATCAGTGAAGGAGAAAAAATTACCTATCTGCAAAATTTTATAATAGAAACAAAGAAAAACTTTTTTTTTTATAGCTCAGAAAATGAAACACCCAGCAGTGATTAAATACCCCCAAAAGAAAGCTCTATTTGTGTGAAAAAAATGATAAAAATGTAATATGGGTACAGTGTTGCATGACCGTGCAATTGTCATTCAAAGTGCGACAGTGCTGAAAGCTGAAAATTGGCCCGGGCAGGAAGGTGGTATAAGTGCCCAGTAGGCTAGTGGTTAAAGAATATGTAAACCCAACATTTCAGATATGCGCCTGCTGTACTATGTATTTGTGTGGAAAAGTATCATTTTCTCTTTGCATTGTTTCCTTTGTGTGAAATACCCGGTGGTCCTGCCAGTACCCCTGCTTTCCTATTAAAAATTGACCACACTAGGAATGATAGCACAGCGTGGTCAATTAGACGTGTCCTGATATGCTCCCCCCTGCACAGCCATTAACTGGGAAGATCAGTATGCTGCTGTTGCTTCTTATGCAGTTGAAAACAGGGTATGTAATCACTTATAAAAAAAGGAAAGAAAAAAGGTATTTATAAGTTTTTTAAATTTATACAGTATATAATTGTTTTTCCTTTCAGTTCTATTGTAAACTGAATGGGTTGTTTTACAAGGTGGAGGTTCAAATACACTTTAAGTCAGGATTCAGTCAGCTGGTGTTTGTTTGCATTAGAACGCTAGCATGCTGCTAAGCTTCTACTGCCATAGAAAAAAAAATAGGAGAGGAGCTGTGATTTCAGTGCCCCTGTTGTGAATTTTGAAGATAAATTCCTCCACAGTGCCTGCAGCCAAATAGGTGAATGAGGTCTTGTTTTAAAGTACTTTTACTACTAGCTCTGAATATGTACAGTTGCAAGAAAAAGTATGTGAACCCCTTGGGATTATGTGAAGTTTTGCATAAATTGGGCATAAAATGTGCTCTGAACGTCATCTAAGTCACAACAATAGAACACAGTCTGCTGAACATAATACTACACAAACATTAGATGTTGCCATGGTTTAATTGCACATAACATGTAAACATTCACAGTGCAGGGAGGAAAAAGTATGTGAACCTTTGGACTTAATAACTGGTTGACCCTCCTTTGGCAGCAATAACCTCAACCAAATGTTTCCTGTAGTTGCAGATCAGACCTGCACAATGATCTGGAGTAATTTTGGACCAGTCCTCTTCACAAAACTGTTTCAGTGTAGCAATATTCTTGGGATGTCTGGTGTGAATCCCTCTCTTAAGGTCATGCCACAGCATTTCAATTGGGTTGAGGTCAGGACTCTGACTGGGCCACTCCAGAAGGCGTATTCTGTGCTGTTGCAGCCATTGTTTTGTTGAATTACTTGTATGCTTTGAGTCATTGTCCTGTTGCATCACCCATCCTCTGCGGAGCTTCAGTTGGCAGACAGATGGTCTTACGTTTTCCTGCAAAATGTCTTGATAAACTCTGGAATTAATTTTCCCATCAATGACAACAATCCGTCCAGCCCCCTGAGGCAGCAAAGCAGCCCCAAACCATGATGCTCCCTCCGCCATGTTTTACAGTGGGGATGAGGTTTTGATGTTGGTGTGCTGCGCCTTTTTTTCTCCACACATAGTGTTGTGTGTTCTTCCCAAACAACTCAATCTTGGTGTCATCTGTCCACAGTATATTTTGCCAGTAGTGCTGTGGAACATCCAGGTGCTCTTTTGCAAACTTCAAACGTGCTGCAATATTCTTTTTGGACAGCAATGGCTTCCTCCGTGGTTTCCTCCCATATATTCCATTCTTGTTTAATGTTTTCCTTATTGTAGATGTGTCAACAAAAATGTTAGCATGTGCCAGAGATTTCTGTAGGTCTTTAGCTGACACTCTGGGATTCTTCTTTACCTCATGCAGCATTCTGTGCTGTGCTCTTGCAGTCATTTTTACAGGACGGCCACGCCTAGGGAGAGTAGCAACAGTGCTAATCTTTCTCCATTTGTAGGCAGTCTGTCTTACCGTGGACACATGAACATCAAGGCTTTTGGAGATACTTTTGTAACCCTTTCCAGCTTCATGCAAGTCAATAATTCTTGATCGTAGGTCTTCTGAGAGCTCTTTTCTGCGAGGCATGGTTCACATCAGACAGTGCTTCTTGAAACCAGTAAACCCAAAACAGGTGTGTGTTTTTTAAGGGCAGGACAGCTGTCAGCAACACATCCAATATCATCACACTGATTGGAGTCAAGGTTGGCTCACTCCTGGCTTCAATTAGCTCTGGGAGAAATCATTAAGCTAGGGCCTCACATACTTTTTCCTCCCTGCACTGTGAATGTTTACATGTTATGTGCAATTAAACCATGGCAACATCTAATGTTTGTGTAGTATTATGTTCAGCAGACTGTGTTCTTCTATTGTTGTGACTTAGATGACGCTCAGAGCACATTTTATGCCCAATTCATGCAAAACTCCACGTAATCCCAAGGGGTTCACATACTTTTTCTTGCAACTGTAAATGCTTTTATGTACATATTCTGGGCACAGGTTCATTTTACATTTTTTTCATCATAGTTTTAGTTTTGAACTGCTCAGATTTGAGACAAGTTTACTGTAATAAGGTCAGATCTTTCTGCTTTTTGTTTATCGCTGGGTAAAGGAGAAAAGGAGCTTCACTACTCACCCGAATACTACTCCTGTCTCCTTGCAAGAGAATTAGAATTATTTTGCCCATGAACATCAGTTTTCCAGTCAAGTTTAAATCAGCAGTCCATTTTTCTACTGTCCTGATATATCTGTCCTTTGCTCTCATGTGATCTAAATGTAAAAGCATTGTCCAGGTTCCCTCGTCAGTCACGGTGCCTGCTGACAGAGGGTGGTTTTCATCCGAAATGGAATCCCCAATTAGAGTGTTAAGATTCTGTTGTGCCCACAGGACCAAGTCATGTATCATCGGTTCTGAGAGATGCTGGCCAGCTTGGTCAAGTAATTTGTCTCTGAGCTCCTTACACTGCACCCTGGTAAGTTCTTCCGAGCTGACAGATACATTTGGTAGGGTGGATGGATATGTAACTGGCAGATCAAATATGAGTCGTAGACGAATTTCTGATTCTGTTAGCTGCTGCACGCTTGTCTGAATCATTACTGTTATTCCACTCTCTGCAAAACATGGAAACTCAATCAACCACAATGTGATATCCCGACAGCAATAAATCAGAGGAAAATTACATTTTCCAATAGCTCTTCAAGTCATTCGTCTTCTGCTAAGGACTTCAAGAATCAAATGTTAATGGACAGTTCAAAGTTACAGGAACTCTACCATCAAAATAAAAGAAAATGATTTTTTGTTCAGGCTCAGTGGGGAAGTAGTGTCTTTTTATGTTACCAAAAGGATAGAATACATAGCTTTGTGTGTTAAAGCGTTCTTGAAATAATGTGTATGGTTTATGATAAGGACTGTGAAATTCCAGAAACCAGGTAGCCAATGATCCCCCAAAAATTATAGCTGCCACTTAATCCTAGGATCATTTTCTTTTGTTGCCGGGATTTCTCCCATCCTGCATCTCACTTCATAACAGTCAGCTTCATGCTTTCAGACTGTGGGGTTGATTTACTAAAACTGGAGCGTGCAAAATCTGGTGCAGCTCTGCACAGAAACCAATCAGCTTCCAAGTTTTATTGTCAAAGCATAACCCCCCCGGCGGTATTCCCGAGTGTAGCGCGGGATTAAGTTTTGGTACCAAAAGCGGTAACCCCGAGCTATACTCGGAAATACACTGCAGCGTTGCGCCGGGATCCCTTCTGCACTTACCTTGTCCTGCGGTCCCGCGATGTCCCCCTGCAGCGTCCACGGCCATGTCCTCCGGCCAATGCCGACATCCGTCTTCCAGGTTCTGTTCCCTGCGAGCGTCGGTACGTAGGGGGGGCGGAACCGGCGCAATTTCAAAAATGTAAAAATTTGACATTCACTCAATACACTAAAATCTGATAGTATTACATTACTGTATCAAAGCATTTCACATACATTTTGTCCCTAGTGCTTTGTCCTGTCCCCTGCCTGCATTTTTACTGTTCTTTCTGCCTGGAAACTGAGAAATGTCCATGGCGTCCAAAAAGCGTCCCTTTAGGTCAAAAGCGGTTTTAGACCAGCTAGAGAACAGCGATAGTAAATCAGAACCACTTGCAAAATTGAGTGATAATGATTCGTGGGGAAATTCGTCATCAGACACTGAAAACGATTTTGCGACTTTGCTCAGTGATGTGCGAACTTGGTGCTCTATTTCAAATTTCAGCGTTTTTGGTTTGATTACATTATTGAATTAAATGTATTATATTATTTTTTTATGATTATTTATTATATTATAATTTATGATTTTCTGTTTCAAATTTTATCATACCCGGGATGTTTACTAGACTCTTGTTCGGACAAATTTCAGTGAGTTATTCCTACAAATTACAGGCCTACAATAAAAAAACCAACAAATTTCCATTGAAAACAATGTACCCCTTTGAGTACAGAAATACTGACATAATCAGACCACTAGGGAGGTTAACTGAACAAGCTGAAGTTAGAAGCTGATTGGCCACCATGCACAGCTGCACCAGATTTTGCACTCTCCAGTTTTAGTATATCAACCACTATGTGCCAATATGGAATGGTTCAAGCATACCATTAAGCCCCAGTTCACATATATGCGGCCGTGCGGGGCACGTTTTGCACGGGCACAAGATCCCATTCATTTGAATGGACTCCCGTGCCCCCTGACACGCAGGGAAGAAGTCCCTGCACTTTTGAAAATGCAGCCCGCATGGGAACCTCGGTTCCCAGTACGGTTGTCTTTTCCCGTGCGGGCGGCGTGCCATTAGAACTAATGGCACCTGCCCGGGGCTCCGCATTCCTCTGTGCGGGTGGTGCGGCTGCACGGATTTTCATGCGGATCTGCAGCGGCACCACCCACACAGATGTGAACTTAGCCTAAAGAGACATCTTTAGGGAAGCCTATCATGTTCCTTAATCATTTTTTAAACTGCTGCGCCCACGATTTCACCTAGTCCTTTTACATCTCTTCATATGTATCCTCATGTTTATTAATTACCTCCTTGCGTCTTACAAACCCATTCTTCAGGATTCTCGAATGATATCTGGTCCCTTTGCCTCTTCATAACCACTTTTCTTTGTAAGCATCTATACTTTACCAGTTTCATGATAGGTCAGATATAGGATAAGTGTATATAAGGCCAAAACCTTTTATGCAAAGCTTGCCATGCTGTATACCATTCAATATCTTCCTGCGCAGATCTGCTTGGTAGCCACGTTGTAACAACACCACCCGCTGCTCTTTGCCCCCACTGTCCTTTTTTCTTACTCCTCAGCCCCCTCTTTTCCATTATAGCCTCTCCATCCTGGTCGGCCCCTAGTGCCCAAAACATAAGAGCGCTGTCCGAGGTTTTAAAACATGAAAAATAAGCAGCCTCTGGGCCATGTTCCGTGGGTTTGGAGCGGCAACTAAGTGCAGCATAAAAGCACATCTTTATAATAAAGCCAAAAAGACATGGAGTCTATCTCAGTAAAAGTCATCAGAAACAGTGATGTAGCCAATCCCGGAAGTCTCTGCAAGCACCCTGGAACGCGGAACCGGATCCGCGCTCTGTACACATTACCCTCCATTATAGACACGTGTGTTCTGTGGCATTTCATTTCACTATAAAATCTCTACAGAAAATAGACAGCAGGCACACTAAACAATGATGTGCAAGTAAGGAGACACAATTCTGAATCTGTATGTTACAAGGACTCCACACTACGGATCTTAGATGTGATATCTTACCAGGTAATGTTTAGGTGTGGCTCTGAAGTATGTGAAGGAAGTATTTTCCCATTCTGCCTTCCTCTCTCAAATTTCAAATCAGATGATGATTTCAAATGATCTCTCTTAGTGTCCATAGGTTTACCTTCATACCATCACCGTTAAGTTTGCAATCACTTTTACCCCCCGGTCACATCAAGCCCGACTTTCAAATCGTGCGACTTACAGTGAAGTCAGGGGACCTGCCGGTTTCAGGTGCAATTTGCAAGACATCTGACACAGATGTCTATGCAAATCGCACCAAAAGTAGTGCATGTACTACTTTAGAAATTGGTGCAGCTACAACCAAGTCCATACCGCACCGATATGACTGCTGTAACTGCGGACAATAGGGTGCGACTTGCAAGTCGTATGGTATGCAAATCACATGCCAAGTCGCACTCAATGTGACCGGGGTCTTAAGTTTAAAGTTTCAGTTACTCTTAAGGTAAAAAATTGATTTTCCGGCATAAACTAAGCAAACCAAACAAGGAAAATGATCAAGCCAGCTGCACATACAACCAGGAAATATTACAAGTATGGTAAGGATATGACAACCATTTTATTTACATTAAAGTAATTATAAAGGCTTATTTTTTTTTTTTAAATAACAAACATGACTATACTTACCTGCTGTGTGCAGTGGTTTTGCAGCCCGGATCCTCATCTTCTCAGGTCCCCTGCTGGCGCTCCTGGCCCTTCCCTCCTGTCAGTTGCCCCTACAGCAAGCAGCTTGCTATGGGGACACCCACTGCTCCGTTTGTTCATTCACACATGAAGTCGCGGCTTGGCCCTCTTTCTTCTCATTGGCTCACTGGCTGTGATTGACAGCAGTGGGAGTCAAAGGCTCCCACTTCTGTCTCAGCCAATGAGGAGAGGGAGCCCCGGGATAGCCGAGACTCCAGTGCACATCGCTGGATTGAGAGGGGGCTTAGGTGAGTATTAGAGGGGCTGGGATGCTGCACAGAGAAGGTTTTTCCTTTCATGTATAGAATGGATGAAGGTAAAAAACCTTGAGCCTTTAGAACCACTTTAAAGCCCAAGTCCAGGAATTAGAAAAAAAAATTACTCTTGCAATATCCCCCCCAAACATTGCAGGGTTGAATAATATTTTGTAGGATATTTCGCTCTCCACCTGCTCTGAGACATACAATAGATAGCAGCTAAACTCAAAATCAGTTTACTGCAGCAGATCAGGCAGCAATTGCAATTGATTGCCAGAGGTTACAGCATATTCTTACCGATCACTGACTGCTTTATAGAGGTTGCAGAACATATTACGGCTCACTGATTAGTTGCTAGAGGTTACAGCAAATGATTGCTGATTGGTTGCTAGAGGTTACTGCACATCCTTACTATTCACCAATTGGTTGCTAGAGGTTACTGAAAATTGTTACTGGTCACTAGTTGGTTGCTAGAGGTTACTGCACATCATTACCGCTCACTCATTAGTAGCTAAAGGCTACTGTACATCGTTACCAATCACTCATTGGTTGCTGAAGGTTACATCACATCATTTCCTCACTACCTGCACACCATGGACTGAGAAGGTTAGGGGACCCAACAATAGACAGAAAACTCCAAGGACTCCTGGGATCAATGGCAGTGCTGGGAGGGGGGTTGTTGAGATCAGGGGTAGTGGTGGGGGGATGGGATCAGTGGCAGTACTGGATGGGGATGGGGATGGGAGGTGACAATTCTACACTGACCACCAATGTTAGGGGAGATTAAAACTGATAACCAATGTAAGGGGGATTTACACTGAGCACCAGTGTAAGGGCAATTCTGCACCAATGTAAAGGAAAATTTACACTGGTCACCAATGTAATGAAGAATTTACACTGACAACCAATGTAATGGGGGATTTTACACCAACCACCAATACATTTCTACAATGGCCACCAATATAAGGGGGAATTTACACTAACCACCAGCATAGGTGTTGGTGGCAGGAACCTCGGGGGGGGGGGGGGGGGGCATAATATACATATGAATGTCCTCACGATTTACCTATGAATACCACATTTCAGCCACTATTTACATATGAATGCCACATTGTCCTCGCTATTTACACATGAATGCCGCCATTATTTACATGTGAATGCTAACATGGTGTGCACATGTCATCTGTACATGGCAATAGGACAGAGCCAGGCAGCATAAGTGACAGCACTTCACACTGAGATATCAGACACTGCCCGAGACAAAGACTTCAAAAGGACAAGATGACAGCTGGCAAGTTTGGGGTAGTTGTTTTGGGCCCTACAGCATTGGCTGGGCCCAGGCCAGCTGCCTT